AAGTATAAACATGATTTTTGAATTGGTGTAAACTAAACACCTCATTTATGAATTTTTCCCTTTAAATTAAAAGGAAAAAAAATGTGAATTGGGCCGACTGCCATTCAGACGACCCAGTAAAGGTCCAACCAACCGACTGGATCGACTTTTCATTGTTTTTAAACCGTTTTAACCCTTCTAATTTACTTATTTTTTACATTGTCAAAGGCCATCTACCACTATTCCCTCGGTTAACAGAGCGGTAGAAGGGAACCAGCGGCTAGGGGTTTTTTCTTGCTAATTGCACTAAAATTTGGGAACAATTTAGAAGAAGGGGACGTGTTCATCAGCCTGTTCGCACCAAACTTGAAGGTAATATCAGATTTATTTGTGTAAAAACATGCTTTAAATCTACGTTGATTTCGCACTCGTTTTGAGGGTTATAAATTATATAATTTCCACACAATTGTTGAAACTGCTGATCTGGCCGCCCCTCAAGTGTAATTGGTGAAATAACCAGGACCAAAACCCTAGGTGGCTCTGCCACTGCGTTGCCGTAGGAAGCTTTCGAAAGTGCTTGTTAAATTTGAATCTTTATTGTTATTGATTTAGAAAAGATTAAACGTTTATATTCGCTGAATGCTGAAAGGTAATCGCACTTCTTTCGTCAAGCATCCATTCTATTAAAGCCGTACACTTTTTGCTGTTTGTGCAGGCCGGGTATCAAACTTTGAGGGTTTTGTATTCTTGTAGCCATGTCTGTGACAGCGGGGGTTAGTGACACACTAATTGCGATTAGGGATAAGCTTAAAGGTAAAATTGGGCAGACAAAAGTGAAGAGGTACTGGCCCGGAAAAGCACCAGAGTGGGCGGATGATAATGATGAAGATGGGGACATTAGGATGGCGAGGGTGGATGCGCTTGAGAAAGCATTCCCGAGTCATGAGGAGACTGATTTTATGCGAAAGGATGATCCTAGACTGCGTCGCTTGGCTGAGAGTAGAATTGATAATCGTGAAGAGGTGAGGGAAGATCATAGACGCATTAGACAGGCGGAGATCGTTTCGAATATAGAGGAGGAAAGCAGGAGGCAAGAAGGATTGGATTTGGAGTATGAGGATGAGGATGCAATGGAGGAGCGGAGAAGAAGGATTAGGGAGAAGTTGTTGCAAAGACAACAAGAGGAGGCGGCACTAATGCCAGAAGAAGAGGAAGATGAAGTTGAGGAAGAGGAGGAGGAGGAGTCTGAGTATGAGACTGATTCTGAAGAAGAAATGATGGGCATACCAATGGTGAAACCGGTTTTTGTTCCAAAATCTGAAAGAGATACAATTGCTGAACGTGAGAGACTTGAGGCAGAAGAGAGGGCACTCGAGGAAGCTGTGAAAAAGAGGATGGAAGAAAGGAGGGTGGAGACGAAGCAAATTGTGGTTGAAAAAATTCGGGAAGACCAGGAGATTCATAGGAATATGGAGTTGGAGGCAAATATTGCTGACGTGGATACTGATGATGAAGTGAATGAGGCAGATGAATATGAGGCTTGGAAGGCTAGAGAGATTGCGAGGGTCAAGAGGGATAGAGAGGGCAGAGAAGCAACGTTGAAGGAGAAGGAGGAGATTGAGAGGGTGAGAAACATGACAGAGGAAGAGAGGAGGGAGTGGGAGAGGAAGAATCCTAAAGCTTCAAGGCAGACCAAGCAAAAGTGGAGGTTCATGCAGAAATACTACCATAAGGGTGCTTATTTCCAGAATGATCCTGATGATCATGCTGGAACTGCCAAAGCTGATAATATTTACGCACGTGATTTCTCAGATCCAACTGGAGAGGATAAGATGGATAAGACCATATTGCCCAAGGTCATGCAGGTTAAGCACTTTGGTCGTAGTGGAAGGACAAAATGGACTCATCTTGTCAACGAGGACACAACTGATTGGAATAATCCGTAAGTTCTTCTTTCATAAGAATGGTATCTGGTTTCTGAATATTTAATATGCATAGTTCGTAATAGTGTCTCAGAATAGTCATTGACGTAAACAGAATTTTAGATTTCAGCTATCACAAGTCTTACCGACGGTAGTATATGCTCTAGGGAAAAAACAAAAAAACTCAATTTTGCTTTCGATATCATCATATCAATGTAGGGACTTACAAAAGTTTATTAAAGATTAATTAAGGGCTATTCTAACCTATACAATTCTCTGAATTCTACAGTAAAAAATACAATCGTAAGACTTGTCTATACAATAGTTTCTTCTTATAGTTGTTCAGTTATACCAATTTAGAAAAGATGAATAAAATGAAATGCTGGAATGACCTGGTGAAACTGGAATTATTAAAGCTGAGATTAAAGTAGCTGTCCAGAAAGAAAATCAAGGCAGTAAATGGAAAGGCTTTAAGATTTTATTTTTATTTTTTTTGCATGTCACATAATTTTAAGGTCATGTAATAAACAAGCTAATGTGTACTATGTTGATGAGACATTCTAAATCACGCACTGACTAGTAGTGTAGGGTGCAATTTTGTTCAATACTCTGTAGTTTATGTTTTCATGAATTGAGTTAAATGTGATTCAAGGAAACTGGAAGTCTATAGTCGTATTGAGGAGTCATTTCCTATCATGAATTTCACAAACAGAACTAACAAAAAGTTTTAAAATGATTTAGTAGCTTTCCACCTAATACTGGGTTAGTGTTTTGTCCCCATGAGTTTCATAAAATAGTGTGTCTGTATTTTCCTGAGGTCCTAATTGTTGTTATTTTGTGTTAATTTTGAATGGATGTTTAGTTATGTAGATTGAGAGATCAGGAGGGAGCAATGTAAAAATATACTATGTTATTCATTCACCAGAGCAAAAACTAAAAATTTTACGTCTTTTCCGATGACAACATTTCATTGATTGGAATGTTCGGAAAAAGGGCATTTGTTTCTTTATTGCATACTTTGAAGCAAGTATTCCTTGGCTTCAATGCCTAATGTCGTTCTTGTGGTATGCTGCTGGAATAGCGCTTTCCGAAGTCATGCGCTTGGCATGTGCTCATTAATATTTTTTCTTCTTCTGGGTCTTGTTGAATTTGGCATTTTGCTCTTGGTATGCCTCATGCTTTTTTCGTCTCTTTCTTTTTGCTGATTGACACTACTAAGAGGTATAAACTACTAATGCAATCAATCCTATGTTTCCCCCACCCCCAATCCTCATTTCTGGTTGGAGGTGTTAAGTTCTTCAGTGATTCAATCATGCACCGTCAAGTGCCTCATTCTCTGAGATGATTGGCTGTTTATGTTTGCTTCTTTTATAACGGTCATGTAATCTAAATTTGAATAGCATAACATGGCACATCAATGATCACAGCCAATTACCGATTTTTGTCTACGCAGATGGACCTACAACGATGCTCTTCGGGCCAAGTACAATGCAAAAATGGCTGGAATGAGTGCACCCATTGCGAAACCTAAAGGAAGCAAGAAATTGAAGGATTGGGAGACACGTTGAACCTTCCAACTTCCGAAGGGTCGAGCAAATGCAGAACAAGACATTAATATAAGCATCAAGTTGTCCCGTTTCCATTTTAGACTTTTAACGTGCATTACTTGCATTTGTGCAATTCTTATTCAGGTATAATACAAATGCTAAATGTCAACGTTTGCGTTAGTGGTGAAACCATTTACCGGATATACTGCCCATGTATTTTGTCATCTTGCTTCAGATGTTGATCGACTTGGGTATTGAATTATGTTTTGCAACAAGGATTAGTTCAGTTATTTACACTGCATTGTAATCCTTAAGAGTATAGAAGCCTGAAACAAACTGCTTGCTGCTTCACTTTGTATGAATATGCATCGAGTAAGGGCTCATTTGGTAGGGTTTTTGTTTCTCTTAGAAGAACATTACGAGGAAATTACATTAGGTTAGCTTCCTCAGTTTTTTATAGCAAAACAAAGTGCTTTAAAAAAAATTATTAAAATTGGTAAAGCTGCTTCTGAGTGACTTTTCAAAAGTCGTGTCAAATTGGCTGTAATTATGCCTATGCTTAACGGTAGAAAATTTATTGGACTATATGATGTGGATTCAAGTCATTGGACCAATATGTATGGCTTTTCCCTTTTCATTTTTCTTTGACAATTAGTTGTCCTAATAAAGAGGAATATTAAGGGCCTTTAATTAAGTAATACGGTGAGCACTTTCGTAGGATCTACAATGACCTTTTCATTACATTTTAGTTTCACAATATGGTGAAAGCAAATTTGTTTGAACTTTATTGGGGGCAATGTGAGCTAATCAAGGGATAAATTGGCTTTAAATATAGCTAATTTAAAAAACTTCGTTCTCGTCATCAGATAGGGTTTATTCTGTACCCCACAGTTAACTCTTCCGATTGGCGCCGTCTAGTGGAGCTAACCCTAGAGAGAGGAAGATGGCTTTCTAGTCTATGAAGGCGGCGGTGCAAGTGGAATAAAAATCTTTAAGTCATTGACTAACTCTGTATGATCGTCTAAATTTTTCGATTGTAATTCTCACTTTGGTTTGAGGTCCCATCTCATTCATCACTAAGTACGTCGAGGAGACATAATCAATCTCCAACTACAAGTTTGTGGTTGGTGCCCTTTCTTACACTATTAACTAAAAGTGAATTAATGCTAGGATTTAGAATTACTTATTAAAATAGGCAAATTTTTCAACTTGTAAGAAATTTGTTAATATTCTAAATAAATAATGATTAATTTGCACTAAAGACGCATTACATGTCAAGCCTTGTCATAATCGCCAATTTATAAACCTACACGTAAAGAAAAAGTCGCTGTATCGAACCGCCACTTTGGCTCATGCATGCGTATAATGCACCACCTGTTTCTCTCTCTAGTCTCTATCCCCTTCTTCATAACCCTTCTCTCTCTATATGTATGTTTATGTGTATATACTACCCCTGTAAAAGTTTAGATACACACAGATACACACAAATATATATATACACACACACACACACACACACACACATAAGCCAAGCCATGCAGTATATTCAGATATGAAAGAATCATACATAAAACCATTTGTTTCCAGATATTTCTCTCTATCTCTTCTTCTCTCTATACCTTTCCTCCTATTTCTTTCTTACAAGGCCGCCACCACCAGCTCCGCCGTAGAGTCACTGCCCTCCTCTGCAGTCCCGGGTCTGAAAATTCGACCAGGATACACCTCCTATGATTCGTACATCCAACGTCAGTTGAACAAGACTCTCGACCCGAAACTTAGAAAAATATGGACAACCCGGGACTGGAACCGGAAAATTCATGTCTTTTCGGCCTTTTTCAATGATTTGAAGAAGAAGAATTTGTTGTTTAATTCTTCTAAAGCACTCTGTATTGGGGCCCGAATGGGGCAAGAAGTGGAGGCTTTGAAAAGGGTCGGGGTATCGGATTCCATAGGCATTGATCTGGTTCCATCTCCCCCGTTGGTTATGAAGGGCGACTTTCATCACCAACCATTCGACGACGAAACATTCGACTTCGAATTCTCCAATGTTTTTGATCACGCGCTTTACCCGGATAAATTCGCGGAAGAGATCCAACGGACGTTAAAGCCGGGTGGCATTTGTGTATTACACGTGGCACTGTCTAGACGGTCGGACAAATACTCGGCTAATGACTTGTTCAGTGTAGAGCCGCTCAAGAAGCTATTTAAAAGAGCCGGGCTGGTACATGTTCGGACCGTTGACGGGTTTGGGTTGGATACTGAAGTGGTTTTCAGGAAAAATAATTAATTATTTTTATTGGAACTTTTGTTATAATTTTAATTGCCTCGATGAAGTGTACAACCTTTTGATAGCTACATGTTTTTTTTTTTTAAATTAATGAAAAATGTCATCTACATTGATTTTTTTATTTTTTAAATCGGGAAAAGTATTTTTTTTAGAATATGATTATAAAGGGGGGGAAATTATGATCCACATGAAAAATTATTTTATTAAGAAAATGGTAATTGGCGCAAAATGTCCCTACCTTTGGTGATTATTGTGGAAAACGTTCCTACCTTTGATTTCTTGGCGTGGAAAGTCCATACCTTTACCTTTTCTTGCACAAAACATCCTTCCGTCCACAAACAGTTAGAATTCACCGTTAAAAAAAAAAAGGATTTTTGTTTTCCACAAGTAAGGGTAAACCCGTCCAACCACCATAACTTCACAGCACTTCACACCTAAACGCTTCATCACGTAAAACCCAAGTGCTTGGAAGGGAGACGGGCCTCGTTTCTCCATCTCATGCCTAACTCGTCTCTTCATATCTCGTTCACCGCCTTCTCCTCTCGGTTCCCCGCCTCGTCGTTCACCGTCCACGATTTGTTGAAGCCGACAGTGAGATACGAGTGACGGTAAGAAAAATCCAGAAATGGGTTTTTACGATTTCTGAAAAATCTTTCCATTTTTGGCTTGATTGAATGTTTTCATTTAGTTTTCTAGTTGTTTATCACCGTTATGCAAGTATATACTTAAATCAGAAATCTTGCAATGAACATGCTTCGTCCGGTTTTGAGGGACCTCGGAGATGATCCACCCATTTACGGTATGTTCTTCAATCTACCAAATTTCTACGTGCATTTAAACCAAAAAATGATGTGCATTCACCCAATTTTTTTATTCTGATTCAATCCCAAGGCAATCGTATGCATTGCTGTTGCATGCGCATAAAGTTGATGACAACCAAACATTTGAAGATTGTTATGTACCAATTATCGAAGAGAACCAAGGAGGGGAGGATGAAGTTACTTGGGCAGACAAATTTTTTGAGGAGAATGCTGAAAATTTGTGGTCACAGTACGAGGAAAGCTTAGAATACCATCATGGCCAAGGTGCAAATGTGGATGAAGTTGTGATTGAAGATTTCACTGTAGAACAAAGTGGGGGAGAGGAAGTTAATTTTATTAAGAAAATGGTAATTGGTGCAAAATGTCCCTACATTTGGTGATTATTGTGGAAAATGTCCGTACCTTTGATTTCTTGACGTGGAAAGTCCATACCTTTACCTCTTTTTGCGCAAAACATCCTTCCGTCTACAAACAGTTAGAATTCACCGTTAAAAAAAAAAAAATGGATTTTTGTTTTCCACAAGTAAGGGTAAACCCGTCCAACCACCATAACTTCACAGCACTTCACGCCTAAACTCTTCATAACGCAAAACCCAAGTGCTTGGAAGGGAGACGAGCCTCGTTTCTCCATCTCACGCCTAACTCATCTCTTCATATCCCGTTCACCGCCTTCTCCTCTCAGTTCCCCGCCTCGTCGTTCATTGTCCACGATTTGTTGAAGCCCACAGTGAGATACGAGCGACGGTAAGAAAAATCTGGAAATGGGTTTTTACGATTTCTGAAAAATCTTTCGATTTTTGGCTTGATTGAATGTTTTCATTTAGTTTTCTAGTTGTTTATCACCGTTATGCAAGTATATACTCAAATCAGAAATCTTGCACTGAACATGCTTCGTCCTGTTTTGAGGGACCTCGGAGATGATCCACCCATTTACGGTATGTTCTTCAATCTACCAAATTTCTACGTGCATTTAACCCAAAAAATGATGTGCATTCACCCAATTTTTTTATGTTGATTCAGTCCCAAGGCAATCGTATGCATTGCTGTTGCATGCGCATGAAGTTGATGACAACCAAACATTTGAAGATTGTTATGTACCAATTGTCGAAGAGAACCAAGGAGGGGAGGATGAAGTTACTTGGGCAGACAAATTTTTTGAGGAGAATGCTGAAAATTTGTGGTCACAGTACGAGGAAAGCTTAGAATACCATCATGGCGAAGGTGCAAATGTGGATGAAGTTGTGATTGAAGATGTCATTGAAGAACAAAGTGGGGGAGATGAAGTTGAAGGGTTGGTGAAATCTAATTACGAGATGGAGCATGAGCATGCAACTACTGGTGAACCAGGGAGTCAACGGGTTAATTTTGATTTCGAATTTGGTACAGCTGATGCACAACAAGTTAGGGATTCTGATACCGACTATAAAGACTCCGATGATTTAAAAAGCATTTAAAGTGAAGAGGATGAAGGTAGAAGCGGGGATTTTAGTGATGCTTTCAACGTTAGTGCAGATATGGAGGATCCAGTGTTTAGAACAGGTTAGTTGAAGGTTTTCTTTACTACTTATTCTCACTTTTATTGATCCGAAGGCCCTAATAACTGGAGATGGTTGAGAATGGGGATAACTGGAGAATGCAGTTGGTATGGACGCTAATAATGGTATGTATCCAGTGGCGTATGCAGTTGTAGAGGTTGAGAATAGGGATAACTGGAGATGGTTTTTGGTGTTGTTGAAGGATGATTTGCACATGCACGTCAGTAAGCAATGGACATTTATTTCTGATAAACAAAAGGGGTTAGTTAATGCAATTGAGAAATTGTTTGAGAATGCGGAGCACAGAACATGTGTTAGACATTTATACAACAATTTCAGTGCTTCATACAAGGGATTGTCTTTGAAGAATTGTTTGTGGGATGCAGCCAGAGCGACAACTGTGTTACAGTGGCTTCAACACATGCAGAGAATGTTGGACTTGGACCAGGCTGCATACGAATGGCTTGAATCAAAATCGGCATCTCATTGGAGTAAATCCCATTTCAGAGAAGGGAACAAATGTGACATGCTTCTAAACAACTTATGCGAATCATTTAATAGAACAATTGTCAGCCCAAGAGAGAAGCCCATTTTGACAATGCTAGAGGAGATTCGAATTTATTTCATGAAGAGGATTGTTGTCCGTAGAGAGTCCTCTGATCGGTGGACAACATCAATAGGCCCTAGAGTTCGGAAAATTGTAGACAAGAACAGTGGACTTGCAAGGGTGGAGTGGGCTGAATATGCAGGAAATGAAAGGTTTCAAGTTCGACACAACGCAGGCACCGTACTAAATGCTGTGGACCTAAGGCAAGAACATGCACATGTCGTACTTGGCAATTGTTAGGAATTCCTTGTTGCCATGTCATTGCCTCGATTGCATCGAGGGGCCTTAATGTAATGGAGTATGTAGATGGGATCTGCAAGAAGGAGGCATACCCCATGACTTACACTCCATCCATCTCCCCCATCACAGGCAATAACTGGAGATGGTTTTTGGGGTTTTTGAAGGATGATTTGCACATGCACGTCAGTGAGCAATGGACATTTATTTCTGATAAACAAAAGAGGTTAGTTAATGCAATTGAGACCTTGTTTGAGAATGCGGAGCACAAAACATGTGTTAGACATTTATACAACAATTTCAGTTCTTCACACAAGGGATTGTCTTTGAAAAATTGTTTGTGGGATGCAGCTAGAGTGACATCTGTGTTACAGTGGCTTCAACACATGTAGCGAATGTTGGACTTGGACCAAGCTGCATACGAATAGCTTAAATCAAAACCGGCATCTTTCAGAGAAGGGAACAAATGTGACATGCTTCTAAACAACTTATGCGAATCATTTAATAGTACAATTGTCAGCCCAAGAGAGAAGCCCATTTTGACAATGCTAGAGGAGATTCGAATTTATTTGATGAAGATGATTGTTGCCCTAGAGAGTCCTCTAGTCGGTGGACAACATCAATAGGCCCTGGAGTTCAGAAAATTGTAGACAAGAACAGTGGACTTGTAAGGGTGGAGTGGGCTGAATATGCAGGAAATGAAAGGTTTCAAGTTTGACACAATGCAGGCACCGTACTAAATGTTGTGGACCTAAGGGCAAGAACATGCACATATCGTACTTGGCAATTGTCAGGAATTCCTTGTTGCCATGTCATTGCCTCGACTGCATTGAGGGGCCTTAATGTAATGGAGTATATAGATGGGATCTACAAGAAGGAGGCATACCCTATAACTTACACTCCATCCATCTCCCCCATCACATGCTCGGACTCATAGCCTAACCTAGGTCTCAATCCTCTCGATCCACCAGTGTACACAAAAATAGCTAGGAGACCAAAAAATAAAATAAAAGGAAAGAGCCAAATGAAGTGGCATGAAGCCAGTCAAAGAGGTCTAGAATGACTTCTTCAAATCAGAGTCAATCAGCTACAGCCACATCAGATCCAAGGAAAATAGCAGGGCTGATAATGACATGCAAGAAATGTAGGGCATGAGGACACAATAGTAGGACCTGCAAAGGGGCACTACCACTAGCACAGAATTAATATAGGCTACTGGTTTTAGCTTTTTATAAAAAAATTTAGTTTTTTGTTCAATGAATCACTGCACATGAATTGTACATGGTTATGGTTCATTCACTACAATAGTAATTGTTGTAGGATATGTTGAATTGTATTTTTTTTTTGATGTTTTTGAACTAGACAGAAAGTGTTCTGGTTTTTGCTTCATTGATTGCAATATTATATGATCTCGCTATTTTGTTGCTGAGTTTAGGTATTGAGGTTGATTGTTGAGTAGTTTAATTGCTAGGTTTGGTTATTGAGCTTGGTTGTTGATTATTGGTTTTGTTATGTTCGAAGTGGGTGTTAGGGATAGCGAGTTGCAGGTTATATAAATAGGGTCTGTAGGTTGCATCTAGCAGGGACGTTTTGCACAATTTTTGTTAAAGGTAGGGATGTTTTGCACCAATACAATGTAAAGATAGGAATGTTTCTCGCAAAGATAAAGGGAAGGTAGGGATGTTTCTCGCAAAGACAATTTCATGCTAAATTGGGAAGAAGACACGTTCATGTTCATCATCTTCTCCATTCTTATTCGAAACCATCATTTACAGAAGCACATTTTAATTGTTCTTCTCA